CGGAGAATCCAATCGAATGGATACAAGTAAGTGGCACTTTATGGTTGTAAATAAGTTTATTAATGATATATATTTTTCTTTTAATAGAATGCAATTCAAGAACTGTTGACGTATATGTTTAGAGGATTTGCATGTGATGACTATGTCGGCTTAGTTCTTGAAAATGAAGAATTCCCCGAGCGACCTGTGTATATTTCTTTCCGAAAATTATCGCAATACAATGTCGCAATGGTGATGGAAACTATTGCAAATGTTCTTCAGAGCAATCGTGCTTTCTTTGTGAATGATCGTTTGTCGGTACGGGTGGACAGGGTGGCTTTACCTGTGGGAAAAGGATTTCGTACCGCCACTGATGGATTAGCCGTAAGTTATGAAGAACATTGCCTTAGTAAAAATAGTATATATGTTATTGAAAATGATAACAATAATTGTTTGGCGTTAGCATTAGTAGTTGCAAGAGAGTATTGCAATAGTAATTTTAAAAGATCCGCTTTAGAAAAATTTAAAGGGAGAAACGGGAGAAATCTTTTAGAACAGTTAGGTGTTGAGTTATGTAGAGAGGCGGATGTCGATTTAGCAAATGGAGGTAATTACACACATGTTGAGAAATTTCAAAAATATTTGGCAAAGTATACAGTTATTGTATACGACGATAGAATGGGTCGATCAGTGTACTATGTCGGTCCACGGGCTCAAGGAAAGCCAAGTTTAAATTTGTTATTCGAGGAAAATCATTTCAATGTGATTCTAAGCYCAACCGGAGCGTTTGCGACAGCGTATTTCTGTGATCTTTGCCGTGTACGATATTCACGTCGTGATCGTCACAAATCTTGCCCTTACACGTGCCCTTGTTGTTTAGAAAAACCACCTTGTAATTTGATTCATAGCGATAAAAAATGTCAAAATTGTCAAAGAAATTTTCGGGGTGTCCAATGTTTTGAAAATCATTTAAAAAAAAAWTTATGCGAGAAAATAAAAAAATGTCCAACATGTTTAACTTTTGTAAAAATTGATTCTAAAAGTTCAAAACATATTTGCGGAATGAAGTTTTGCCGTACCTGCGSTGTTAACAGACCAATAAGGCATTTTTGTTTCATGAAGCAAAACAAGATTAATGAAAATAAGCAAATAGACAATCAGCATAATTACTTATTCGTTTATTACGATTTTGAAACAAGGCAAGAAAAAAATATCAATAATGCGTACCTACACGAAGTAAATTTGTGTGTGGC